TACATTAAAAAGAAATAACACTCTGACACCCCGTCTAACAGTTGTAGTTCGCAAGAATTACACGTTAACAGTATCAATTCTACTATCATTAATTGGAATATATCTATGTCCTCTTTGTGGATTTTTTCAATTCCAATTAGCATATTCAATAAAAATGCATTTCCAATAGCCTATTAATTCTTTTAAACAAATTTTAAATACTTTATTAAAGATAATATTTATAAATACCAAATTTTTATGCTTTCTTAAAATTGGATTTTCATTACAATGAGTATTTGTATCAGAATTAATAAAAGTATAAGGAGATTTATATGTAGCAACAAATTGACTAAAAAAAAAAAATTTATTTATTAAATTATAAATTTAAAAAATTTAAAAAGTATTAAGATAATACATTTTTTATCATAAGTAAATTACTTACCATAAAGCAAATTCATGAGAATTATAATCTTCTTGATTAAATAATTCTTTATAATATTCATTATCAAAATCAACAGCAGTATGAATACCCTCAATTATTTGATTTGAAGTAAATTTACACATTTTTATACCTTGTCAAGTTCTAAATTCTCTTTTATAAGAGACACCTAAAAAAAAATAATTTTTTATACTTGACATTTTTCCAGGATCTTCCAATGAATATTGCACATTCCTTAATTTGGAAATATTCTTTATTTTACTAATATCTCAACCATCAACATTATAAACAGTTGCTACACCTATATCTGAGATTCTAGAATATTCTTTAAATTCAAAACAATACTCAATATCCCAAACTTCAAGATTCTTTCCAAATACAGCAGAAATGTTATATAAATATTTCAATTATGTATAAAAAATAAAATTAAATAAGTTTAAAAAATATAAAACTAATCACCTCAATTTCTATATCTGGCAATGTTTTATCTTCATCTTCACTTAAATTTCTTAAATTTTCATCTTTAAATTTAGATTATTACCAAAACCCTCCTATAAATATTTATTTATTAAAAAAATGATAAATTAAATTTATAAATTATTATTTATATAACACTATTTGTATATTATATTATATATACACAACGCGATTTCACGTTTTATTTAAAAAAAATTTTTTTTATTTTATTATTTTTATTTTTATTTTAATTAACAAAATTGATTTCGAATCAAAAAATTCTTCAAAATCAGAATTAGAATTAGACATATTCAGACATTTGCGATATTAGTAAAAAAGTTTTTTTTTTTTTTTTTAAGGTACAACAACGCCGACTGAAGACCCCATTGCACTTAAACCTAGTCAACAAGTTGATACTAGGCACTATTAATGGTAAAGTGTGAGACCTAATCAATCTCAGGTATTTCCTATTTTTCAAGTTATCCACCATGTTGTGCACATCCTTCTCAATGTTCCCATCTAAGTATGGCATCCTAACTGGGCAACTCAAACCGCATGTTGGATCCGTATTAGGTACTTAGCATCAAAGGTACTGTCAAATTTGGATAGAGGGATC